GTGCACCAAACTAGTAGTGCTTTCTTTAAAAGAAAACCAGATTAACATACTATGGATACAAAAAAAATAATAGGCATTATTATTTCTAAACTTAAGAATGTTATCATTTTACAATAAGGTCAAACTTTGGAAGCAATAATACGATAATAATTATACATCACATAAGATACCCAAGATAATAATATGTACGATGTGATGAATCGCCAATATGATAAAATGTTGAACGCGTGCGAAGACATATTTCAGGCTCGGTGGCGTGTGATGTGTGCGGTGAAGAAGAATCAACCCTCCATGTCCTGAGGGATTGCAAGGTGGCTAAGGATCTTTGGACCTCTTTGCTGCGGACTGCACCTGTGTGCGATTTTTACTGCTTGGACCTGATGGAGTGGCTCCGGCATAATTTGCTCATGCTGCGGCAAGGACGACAGGCCAACTGAAATAGCCTCTTCGCATTTACGGCGTGGCGACTTTGGACGTGGCGCAACGAGCGAATTTTTAAAAATAAAAATATGAGTCGCGAGGCCCGGCTCCAGAAGGTTCTGCGGATGACGGGTTCACTACAAGAAAATGATGGAATTCCAAAGGAAATGTATTTCAAAAGAATTATTCCAACGGCAATTCCAACGGATATTTCAATACTATTATTTCCGTTGGAATTTTTCAATGGATTCCAACAGAAATTCCAACAAAAATATTCTGTTGGAATGAGTTTTCCATTGGAATTTCCGTTGGATTTTGACGATTCCAACAGTGGATTTTCCAACGGGGGTGGAAAAAGAAATTCCAACGGAATTTGCATATTCCAACGGAAATTTCTACGGTAAAAAGCCGTTGGAAATATAGCCGTTGGAATCATCAAATTCCATCTAAAATTCCAATAAAAAACACATTCAAAAGGATTATTTTCGTTGGAATTTCTGTTGGAACTATTCCAACGGAAACTATTCCATTGGAATATCCGTTGGAATGTCCATTGGAATATATTACCATAGGATTTTCCGTTGGAATATAACATTTATTTTGTAGTGGTTCTTACGGCCGAGCTCAAGTTGCTTATCGCCAAGTTGGGATTAATAACTATGTTTCTCGTCTCATTCGATGGAATCCCCCAGACCCGGGGTGGTTGAAAGTAAACACGGATGGGGCGTATGATAACCGAACCGGATTAAGTAGTGCTGGTGGATTGATTCGGGACGAGGTCGGCCGTTGGCGCACGGGCTTTCTTATGAATATTGGTTCCTGTACCATCACGGGCGCGGGGC